GGGATGTCTGACTACCCTTCGGTCCTAACAACCAAACTCTACTACTATAACACACCAAACTAGCATATATCATATCATGTAGTAGCAAAACTAGATGATATCACAAAGACAATCATCTAACACACAACTCCTACTGGTGGGCTGACATTGTGGCCATAGACCCACCGCTACTGGAAGGTAACTCACCTGAACTGCTAAGCTCTGTTGGTAACCCTCTGGCTGCTAACCGATAACCCTCTGAGGCGTTGCTCCTCTAGCTCTCCATGCTACCAATATCAATATAACACTTAGTCTGACAGTCCTCCAAAAGTCAACTAAGTCAACTCTCGTCAAGGTCAAAGTCCTGGTCAAAGTCAACCTTCCAAGTTGACCCTACTTTTCGAGTCAGCCTACTGACTCGCCAAGTTCATAAGCTTAGAAACCCCTTTCATTCGCGACTCGACTCACCGAGTCAGAGCATGACTCGCCGAGTCTACTGATTTCCAAGCCTGACCTGTCCAACTCACTGGGTCCTCACTCAACTCATTGATCTGAGTCTTAACTCGAAGGGTTTGGGGTTTCGTGACTTGACTCGCCGAGTCCAAGAACAGACTTGCCGAGTTCACGGCAATCTTCAACAGACTCGCCGAGTTGTTCTTCCAAGTCGTCGAGTTCTTGTCTATCTTCTTCAACTCGCCGAGTTCACTAATGTGACTCGTCGAGTTACTACGCGGTTTAACACTGGTATCTAGCCCGACTTGCCAAGTCATCTCCCAAACTCGCCGAGTCCATATGTGCATTCCCATAATCTCGAGTTACAGAGCTACTCCTTTGCTCCAAACCATAGATCTGGGTTTCTAGAGTCCATTAGCAACATAAAGTTGCTACCTTTACGTGCTTCTTGTCCCCTAATGCCAAAAACCTAGCTAGAAAAGGAACTTAACTCATGGGGAATGGCTTTTGCATAGCAACTAACAGGGCTTTCTGCATCTTGGATCCAAATAGAGCTCAGATCTCGAGTTTCAACTCTAGATCCAACTTGTGCACCAATTTCTCATCACATACTCTTCAAAGAAACCCCAAAACTCCATGAAAGATGGATCTAGAAAGGGGAAAGCCAAGGATAACGATTCAATACCTCCAAAACATCCTCCTACTAAAAAGGAATCCGAATCTCCACGAACCTCCTTGATCCAAGCTTCTTGATCTTCAAGATTTCTTCACAAAACACTTAACAATGCCCCAATTTGCTTCCAATGGCTTTCACTCACGATTCTAGGGCTTCTGGATCTTAAAGAGGAGTAAAGAGGTTAGGGAATGGGTGTAATGTTCCTTAAATAGGGTGCAAACCCCAGGGTTAGGGTTTTTTTCTCGTTCAGACCAGACTCATCGAGTCCACTCGCCGACTCGCCGAGTCGGTCACTTATTCTACACCCAGATCCCGCTCTGACTCGTCGAGTTCCTCCTTGGACTCGACGAGTTGACCCTTTGACTTAGGGTTTTCTTTCCTTATTCTACACCCAGATCCCGCTCTGACTCGTCGAGTTCCTCCCTGGACTCGACGAGTTGACCCTTTGACTTAGGGTTTTCTTTCCTTTCTTGGCCTTTCTGATTTTGAGTGTTACATGTAATATCATCACAGTAAATATAATTGAAACAAGGCAAGCATCATCATCACTCTTACAATAATACAACAATACAGAGTTTACATCATTATAATTGTTTACAAGAGTTACATCCCAAAATATAAATGTTTATAATAGCAACAAAATGCAACAAATTTCCACATATTCTTGATGCCCACCTGCTTAACGATTTCCTAACAATACAAGTTATTTGAAAACGTCAACATATATAATGTTGGTGAGTTCATAAGCATGTTACATGAAAAGTTTTGTATTACTTTGTAAACACCAGAAAATCTGATATTTTCTAAAAAAAAAATAGTTTGAAAGCTTTGTGTCAAATCCCGTGTTAAGGCATGTGTGTTTTTGTTTGAAAATGTATAAAGAGTATTTCAAAAAATCATATAGTTCTTGTTAGCACACCACATAACAAACAAGCACAAATATGAGCAGACATTCTGATTGGACCGCCTCGCATGGCCTACGACCTCTCTAGACCACTCTTCGAGCCTTTGGCATGACTGGACTGGCTCGCAGGGCCTATAACCTATCCGACCCGCTCGACGGTTCGTCGGCCTGACTGGACTGCCTCGGAGGGCCTACAGCCTTTCTGGTTGCCCCTCAGTGTCTTGGCCTATAGCACAAAGCAGGATCGTTTCAAGCCAACACAACATGTCGACATATGCAACAAACAAACATATACACAGATCCAACAAATATAGATAATTATACGGATCTACTGAAAAACTATGAACTATAATATCGCTATCATGACCAAGATAAATAATCTAGTGGACCGGCATTGGTGCCTTCGACCCACAAGTACAGTGAGGAAAACCCACATCTCATTCTGTATATAAGCTGAATAAATCTTGATCCTGAAAACCGGCTCAATGATCACTTAATCAAAATTAAGGACCTAATCTCAATTAATCAGCTCAAAATACCTAAAATACCCATAGGTCAATTTAGTCAAATGTCAAGGTTAACAGGTCAACTCGATCCACTCAATTGAATATGTGAAGCGTACTCAGGCTTTGACTGAAGTCGGGCGGTTGACCCCGTACGCACGGCGTATGCTGGGTTATGGACAACGTACGCACAAACTCCATTTTTCCTCAATAAGACCTTAATGCATTAAGCTCTCACATCCCAATTTCAACTCTAAGACCAAAATACCACTAAGATTAATGAAGTTTCCAATTTTATGACTTTGCATGCCCATTAAGTGTTTAATACATAAAATCCCAACTTCTTAACACCTTAAGACCTTTTAGAGCATGCATGGGTAAAAACTAAGCATCAAGACCACATTGTTATGACTCAAGACCCCTCATTAGGTCTGAAAGGACGACTTATTCGACTAAGAGCATGTCATGCACAAGAATCATCTTAGTTGGGACCAAAAATGTCCTAAATGAAGAAATGGATAGATCTATAAGATAAGATGATCAAGCTATGAGCTTTTTACCTCCTGGAGGTTGCTAGCAAGGCGAGAATCTCAGATCCAAGTTGCTTCCAAGCTTCAAACTCTTTCCACCACCTTCTTCTTCTTCTTCAAGAATATCACCAAAATACAAAATGAGCTCAAGATGCACTCTTCTCACTTAGGGTTAGCTAGATGGACGTTTTCTCAGGTGGAGGCTGATGAGGGAATGAGAAATAAGGAGTTAATGATGATTATATATGGGTTAAACCCTAAAAATTAGGGTTTAAAGATCCTTCATGTATGTCTGGCGTACGCGGTGTATGCTTATTAGCGCATGTACATCCAGCATACACAACATATGCCCATCGTACTAAGCTTTGCCCAAGATTTATGAAATGTACCACTATGGGACCAATTTGCAAACAAAACCCACTCCAATGGCTAAAATCATAAACATCCATACTTAATAGTTAATTTTTGAAATATCTCATTCCCGGGATGTTATAGTATTGTATTGACATTTCGGATTCCGTGCCATTTTGGATTATTGACAGAAAAAAAAAATTAGAATTTTAATAAGCTTGAAATCCTATTAACAGTTCTAAAATTTGAAAATATGGTTCGTTTACTACTAAAACATGACAAAATGTTGAAAAATATAACTAATAAGAAGTAAATATTATAAAAGGACTTAAAATGTGACATCCTATTGAAATGGCTAATATTATTATTCACTTCAAAGTTGTTATTTTGAATAGACAAAAATTTTTATGGGAATGGAAAATATATATATACATTACCCATTCCAAAGAAAATGATTATTAAAAAAAAAAAAAAAAAAAAAATCAGTTTTTTTTAGTAAATTGGTTTTGTCAAATGACAAACGTCCAACCATATTCAAATAGTATTTATCTTTATGAAATAAATGTTCTAGGAGCTTCTAAATGTTACTTGTAGTCTTGTACCCTGCCCTCCAATACAAGTAAATCGAGAGATAAAACCGACTAGTGACCAAGTCTTTACTTTACACCCTTTTCTCTTTCTACCAACGAGAAATCGACACACACTACCTTAAGACGCCGTCAACTGATCTATCCTTCATTATCCACGCGTAATCACAACACTAATCCTACCACCCGACCACACCCTTTCCCCCCAATAATCCTTCCTCTATATATTCAGTAGACAAAATTAAACACGAAACACATTCTTTTCATACTATAACACACATTTCAAGCAAGTAGAAGATGAGCGACTTAAACAAGCAACCCACCGGAGGAGGAGGAGGAGGCTGCCGGAAGGCTAATGGACCTTCTTTTGACAAGATTCCGACCAAAAGATGGGGGCGGATCAAGAAACGAATTGTCAAAGAACTCATATTTGGAGTCGGAAAACAACCAACCGAAGGTGGAAGTGTCAAACTTCCGGCAGACAGACGCCAGATCAAGAAACAAATTGCCAAAGATTTATTTTCAACCACCATTTAAAGCAAACCGATTCATGAGTTCAAATCCCATTTACACTTTTAACATCGTTTTTTTTCTACCAAAAAAAAAAAAAAAAAAAAAAAAAACTATGGAAAGGCAAATGCATAAATGCGTTTTATTTCATGCTTTCGTCTCCAATATAGCTCCTTCGTTTTAGAGCAAATTGTCGACGCTTTTTTTTTTTTTTTTTGTAGTTTCACATTATCGATGGATTGTTTGTAGTGAAAAAAAACACAAACAATATGGTCCAAAAGTCGATCCAACACAATAAGAATTCAAAAGGGGTTCAAATGTACAAAGTATGTTTGTTTCATGTACTTGTATCATATGTTTTCTGATTGATAATATAAGTTATCAACTTCATGTGTCAAAGGAAATCTTTATCGATGTTGTACACAACAAAACTCCAAACTCAAGACACGCTTTTAAGTCGTATCATTAAACTTTTTTTACAACACAAAAACCCACAACTCCATACTCACCATATTATCAATTTAGTCACCAATTGCAGCATCAATCATCCAATTTCATTCATGAAAAAAGACACATACAAAATCAAAGATAAAAAACAAAACTACAAGAAATCATAATGTGGATGAATCTAACAACTACAATATAATAATATCATAAAGAATGATTACACAAACCACTAAACTACTTGAAACAAAACGAATCAACTCTTTATGAAGGAAAATGCTCAACATCCATTGAAGGGAAACCAGATTGTGCATATTTAATCGCTTGAAGCAAACTTTTCGCTGTTTCCTTCTCCTACAATATCACAAATTCAAATTTCAATAAAAACCTTTAACCTTTTTTTCAAAAAAAAAAAAAAAAAAAAAAAAAAAAACTTACAGGGCCATTGTAATCAAGAAGACGAGTGCAATAAACTTCAGCTTCTTCAAATCTTTTTTGAGCCCTACAATAATTCGCCAAAAACAAAAGAGCTTCAACCATATTCGGCCCTTCTCTCTCCTCATCTTCCATTCTCTCCAAATCTTTCTTATAATAAAACGCAGCCTCTTCAGATTCCCCTAATTCACTATGCAATTTTGCTAACCTATGAAGAGCAATAGCTTCCCTATCATTACAATTAGCAGCTCTTCTATAACACTTAATCGCCTCTTCAAGCATCCTCAATTGATCCGTTTCATAACACTGAGCCATAGCTATCCACAATCTTGAATCACTCGGTTGCAAAAACACTGATTTCTTGAAATAATGAAGGGCATAATAGGGCATTCCCATCATTTCATAAGCTTGACCTAACCCATACCATGCCCTGTAATCACAAGGGTTTATATCAACAGCTCTTCTATAAGCATCAACAGCAGCTGGAGTGTTCTTCATTTCCACATACTCATGTCCCATTAATGTCCATGCGGATAAATAGTTTTTATTTAGTTTCAAAGCGCGTCTAAAATACATAACAGATTTTTCATGAAGACCCTTTAAGGAATAATAGTTCCCGATTATACAACAAGATTCAGGTCTGTATTTATCTGTCATGAAAACTTGTCTTGCGAGGTAACTTAAGCCTGAAAAACATTCTTTTGCATACAACACATTGGAATACATGTCCATGTCATCAACACGATAAGGGTCGATTCTTAGAAGCTCTTCAAAAATGGCTTCCACTTGTTCAAATTCACGTAGGCTGTATTGGGCTTTGGCTATTTGGGCTTTGATGTAGTTGCTAAAGCCAAAAGTTGATTGGAGAGATTCGTATCTTGATAAAGATTCGTTATGCATACGTAACTCGTGATAACAGCTTGCAAGAAAGAAGTCTTTCATCCAATGGTTGTTGAGTTTGAGAGTGTTGAGTGTGTCGATTGTGGTGCATAAAGATTGGAGCTCTAACCATGCACTCCAGTTCCATGGATAGCTGTTGACTGATTCGGTTAATACAGTTCTTGCAAGATTTTGGTCGCCTTTTTCTTTGAGGACAAGACCATATAAGTAAAGGCCAAATGAGTCAATTGTGTTGTTTTTTCGGACTGTTGATAAGTCTCTTTCTATGGAGACTAGTTCACTGTTGACTGCATCGCTTTTACCTAAAGGACCTTCAAGTTCGATTGTTTCTTCTTCTTTTCGTTTTTCCCCTGCCTGGAAGAACAATCTGAAAGTTACTAACTTGGGTAATGAGATATTGTAGCTGTTTTAGGAAAAATCATGGCATAATGTGTTGTTTGCATTTAATCGAACACCTTGTGGACATGAAAAAAGAATAGTAATAAACGATTCACCGGATAATTATAGAATGCATCAGGTATTTCTGCTCGTGACAACTTGTGGTGTAGTTAGTGGATCCCGAGTAAATGAATAATGGACATGAAATCTATGGAAAAGGAAGGAGCAGAAAACGAACCAGATAAAGAGCATAACATCTCAAGAACAAAGCTTTTTTGCCGGTCTGGTCAGATAAAACATGGGCAGCCCTCCTGTACTCTCGACAATTAAAGTAGGTCTTTGCAAGAAGGTAAAAATCGGAATCTGCGGCTTCGCTTTCCTCCTCCGGCACTGGAGTGGAGACGTATGATGTACCGGCGATAGGGGTGGAGATTGTTTCATCAGTAGAGCGAAATCGGCGGCGAATGCTGGAACAGTCCCGCTGTAATCGAGTATGCGAAGGCGGATACTTTGCCGGATCTTGCTCAATACCCACCAATTGTTCTGCAGCCCTGTTTACATAAATCGAACATATTCAAATTCAAAATTTTCGAGGGTTTTAGAATGAAGAACTAAAACACAAAATAAGGGTTTGCTAACCATTTGGAAGCGGAATACAGGCAGCGATCTGTAAGTTGACGGATTGCAGTTCGGAGCTCGTTTCGGCAATTTTCCTTGGTAACACCCATCGGAGTGTATGAATTTTGAATGAATGTGAGTGTTTCAGTTCGGACTGGGATTTTTTTTGAAATGCAAAATGCGGACTTGGTGAGTTCAGGAGTATAAATCGTGTTCACATTTTTCAAATTATTTTCGAATTTAGGAAATAAAACAGTACTACTTTGGCCACCTAACTATGATAATTTTCTCTTGGGACACTTGACTGATGAAATTATAAACCGGCGACCAAACATCTATAAATTGACTTTGAATCACTCGACTAACGTTGGGGGAGTGGCTTCGCAACAACCTACGGTATTCGGTATTGATGAGGTGGCTCGGTGCATATCGGCCCGACTTTCTCGATATGATCCCAAGTTGGTAGCAGCATTTTGAGTCTCTATAGCGACCGTCTAATAACAACTAGTATTTTTTTAAACATTTTTTTTTCAATTTCTATTCACTATGATTATCATCTTAACGTACTATTTTATAACAAATCAACATTGTTTTTTAATGTCTTTGTCATATTTGGGAACTTTTGACATGGTGCTACAAACAGGAGAGGGCGTTGTTAAAACATTGTTGAGTATGATTGAAGAACAAAGCAACAAGGAAGCCGAAAATGCGAGACAGAAAAATAAAGAAAATATATAAGGAGAAATTGTGAAGTTGCCAACCGATGTCAAATGCATGATTATTTTGATGAGTGGTTTTTCGGGGGTATTTTTTCGACTGCGGTTTTGAATGCATAAACATTTGTTTCGACGTATTGTCGAAGACGTGATGGAAGCATGTTCATTTTTCAAACAACGGTTAGATGCAAGAGTTACAATAGGTTTAGTCTATTACAAAAATACATGGTCGCACTTCGTATGATAACATATGGCACCCCAACAGATGTAATAGATGAGAATCATAGGAAATCTCCATATACCGCACGAGAAAGGCTTCATAATTTTTGCAAGTATGATATGAAGTTGTTGAAGGGTTTTCTATGCATCTATACACGAAAATAAGGAAACGAAAGCATTCAATAAAATCCTAAGTATACATGCACCCTAAATTTAGGTTTTACTATTATGACAGCGTACTTTCAAAACTATCAAAAGGGAGAGTATTACTAAGCTTTCAAGTATACCGTATATACTTGTGATTCCTTGAATATATTGAATTTATTTGTTGCTCTTGGAAGATCTAAAACCCAAAGTAGGAATGTATCTAATGGCTCACATGTAACATCCCAAAATTTAAGAACAAAAATTCCATTTTTGATATAGCGATTTATAAAAACAATTTATAAGAAAACATCATCAAGTTACTTCATCTCATAAAAACCATATTTCACTTGTCTAAAAACCATATCATAAAATAGTAGCAATGTCAGAGTATAAACCCCAAGAATCTCATGTAGGGAAAATCGTGTGTGTGATGCGCTGCTACCGTGCCGACCCCTTTCACTTCGAAGAAGAAGGACCTAAAACAAAAACTGAAAACCGTAAGCATAAAGCTTAGTGAGTTCCCCCATCATACCACATAACATACATAACACATATTGTCTAACATATCTGGATACTAGCTACCCCTTCGGCCCTATCGACCAGTAACTTGCCTAGCATATTAGGGTGTTGGCCTACCCCTTCGATCCTATCAACCGGTACCTTGCCTAGCATATCAGGGTGCTGGCCTACCCTTTCGGTCATTTCGATCGGCACCTCGCCTAGCATATCTGTCACACCCCAAAACCACGAACGGCGGAAACGTTCAGGGGTGGAGGACGTCATGTACAGTATCACAACAGTGTAATATAATAAACAAGCAACAACATCATCCATTGCATTATAAGTAAAGTTTTATACATGTGTGTTCTTTCATTGTAATAAGACACCAAAAATGTACAATCAAAATAAAAGACGAGACTTGTCTGCTGCGTCTTCTCACAACCTGTCCTCTGTACCTGTCTACTGGCGACCTGAGAATACAAGTTATTTTGAAAGAGAGTATCAGCTTTAAAGCTGGTGAGTTCATAAGTATATAAGTGTCATTGCTTTGTTTGTGAAAACCTGCTATGAATGCCATGAAAAACCTTTATGTGAAAATGTTGAGGTAAGTATGAAATCCCTAGAAAAACCCTTATTTTCTATAAGTATGAAGTGTAGTCTTCTACCAAGACCCAAATGTTTTGTATAAATGAAGTGTAGTCTTCTACCAAGACTCGAATGTTTTGTATAAATGAAGTGTAGTCTTCTACCAAGACTCGAATGTTTTGTATGTGTGAAATGCAGTCTTCTACCAAGACTCGAATGTTTTGTATGTATGAAGTGCAGTCTTCTACCAAGACTCGAATGTTTTGTATGTATGAAGTATTTTTCCTTTGGTAGACTAGTACTAAAAGTGCTTAGTCTAACTCATCGTTTATGTGAAAGATATCACAAAATAAAGTAAACAGGAAAATATGATATGGTAAGTATTGTCATTGGGTACTAAGACCAACACTACATCGCATGAAACGAAAGTTAGACCCTGAGGAACATCCGAAGAGTGTCCCCTCATCCCCTATAGCAGCAGCAGGATGGAAGGAGGGTTAGTCCCTGCATCGATCTCTTGACGTAGATCGTCAACTTAATGATCCTCCGAAGATTCACATCTCGTCCACTGTTGCAACAGCGGGCGGAGGGATAGTTAGTCCCATCACTGACCACAAGTCAAGTGACTACCTTAGACATCCGTAAACGCCATCTCTCACTGGCGCTAATCAGTGAGATTCGGAATGGTAAGTCCCACTGAAAACATCCCCTTGAACGGGAATAGGAAAGACATTTTATACAGTAAATACTAATAAATCATCCTCTTAGATCTAGCTCAAGTATCCAAGGTAAGTAAGCACAGAATAATGTACTTATCAAGAAGTGTCCCTGTCTAGAATTTATGTAAGTGTACTCATGTAACAGGTAAGTATATGTAAACATATTCATGTATCATAGAACCCTAAGTACGTGTAATCATGTATCATGTAAGGCATTAGTATAGACTCATGAATGAACTGACTCTTGTTTGATATTCTCTGACTATCCCTATGATAGTTAACTAGAAAGTATATTGTTGTTCAAGTAGGTTTATGCACGGTATCTAGGAGCTTTGAACAATAATGTAAAGTGACTTAAAGTCATTATACAATTCAAAACTAATACTTCTATTGTCTAAGTATTTTAAGATAGAAAACCCTTTCACGTGACTTCCTTTGAAATATGTGAAATCTACTGAGTGAAAACATAGTTATAAAATACATGAAACTGATTTAATAACATGTTTGTTTCTACTTGTATCCCCCCCCCCATTAAAGCATTTAAAATCCCTTTAAAACATTGATTACGGGGTATGAACTCACCTGTAGTTGGTGATTGGAATGAAATGAACGGTATCGGATTGCTAGGTGTCAAGCGAGGACTTGTGCACACACTACGATCCTAATGAACATATAATCACACATATATGTACTCAATTAGACTCAAATGACTAATTGATAATATTTAAGACATCCTAGGCATAATAAACACTTTATATAAGTGTTATAAGCCATAAGGATTGCATCTAAGCTATTGTGGGACAGGGTATTTGTGTTTAGGGTTTCCAAAGGACCCTATAACTGAGTTTACTCCTCATATACTAACACACATGGAGTTTACGGTTGTAAACTCTTGAGTTTACGGCCGTAAACTCCCAAACATGTGTGTTTGGTGTGTTTTGAAGTCCCAAATGCTTGCTAGAATTGTTCTAACTTAGTGGCTAAGTCCTTGGAAGGGTTTAAGGTCTAGAAGTACTCCAATTAGAAGTTTAAGGCCTCAAGGCCATTCCTCTTAGAGTTTACGGCCTTAAACTCTAAGTAATGTGGGTTTTTGTTGCTTTCAAGTCTCTTGCACTTGTGGGATATGTTCTAGACTTTTATTCCTAGCATATGAAGGCATTAGGCACACCTTAGTGCCATTTTTAGGAGTTTACGGCCCAAGAACTATGTCTTGGCCGTAAACTCACTTGGTTAAGTGATTTTGATGTACTTTGGTTCTTCATTTTTGTGGGAAACAATTCCATGAAGGGGTCTAGGGCTTTAGGTGTCTTGAAACCACACTTTTGTCCATTCTTATGGAGTTTACGGCCTAAGCTTCTCTTGGGCCGTAAACTCACTTTGATTTGTGTCATTTGATGTGTTTAGGACCTTATTCTTCTTGGGGAATTAGCCTAGATACAAGCCTTTAAGTCTTATAGTCCTTAAATCACCATTTAGGGTTTGAATTTGGAGTTTACGGCCTATGATAATCTAGGGCCGTAAACTCCCAAACTTGGGTGGATTTTGGTTGTTTTCTTGTCCCTAACATGTATACATAATGTCCTAAGGCCTTATTCAAGCATCAATGTCGGTTTTGGCCTTGTTTCGGGAGTTTACCGCCCAAGAACACCTTGGGGAGTAAACTCCTAGATCTCATGATTTAGTCATCTAAATCATGTTATGAGCATCTAATATGTATTATAACACTACTAGAAAGAGTGACTCACGTTTTGGTATAAAAACCCGAAGATCCGTCAGAGAGAAAATGGCTTTTCTCTAGTCAGAAATGTGAATAATGAATTAATTTAGTTCAGAAAACTATTTATAGTCCTGAAAATATTTTGACAGAAAATATTTTTATTCCTGAAATGATCCCTAATAAATTAGAGTGTTGGAATAACAATGTTGCACCAAACCCTAGGTGCACCCACTCTCCTGATATTTCCTGAAGTGTAAACCCTGAATTTCTCAAACTTACTCGAAAAGTCTGAAAATTAACTGTGACTGCTACAACTTCTATTGAAGTGATATAGTTTGTACAGAATGGAAATTTCGGGTTGTCACATCATCCCCCCGTTAGAAGGAATGTCGTCCCGAAATTAGAATTTAGGCAAGGAAATAGGTACGAATGTTCGAGTTGTTATGTGTACTTCCTAATCGATTGGTTCTCGTGCTCCTAAGTGAAATTGGGTTCTCGGACGAACCTTCACTAATGGGTGACGGAATTGCTTCGTCCGCTTGACCACTCGGTCGAGGGCCACTACGGCTCAATACGAAGGCAAGGATCTCG